TTTCCAGATTGGTTTCAGGTTGATGAATGTGTTTCTCGCCTTCCCGATTCTCGATTTGACATCCTCGTCCGTTCCTCCTGTAGTTGAGACAATGCTCCCTAGATAAGTGAATGAAGTAACCTCTTTCAAATCCCTCCCGTTGATGGTGATTGGCACTGGATGTTGCTGCTGTTGTTGTTGGTTGGTTATTTTCATAACCTCCGTCTTGTCTATATTCACCTGGAGTCCTGTCTTTGCTGCCAGCCTCTTCGACCAGTTTGTCGGTTTTCGCTTGTAAGTCTTCGATTTTGTGTGACATCAAACATAAATCATCCACGCGCGAAATCCAGTTCTTCTATGTTCTTCACGTTGTTTCAGGATATCCCTGTCTTCTCGTTTCCCACTGTCTGACGCACAATCCAGTCCACCACAATTAGGAATATCATTGGTGATAATAAGCACCCTTGTCTGACTTCTGTGTTTACTCCAAACACCTCGTTGAGGTTTCCGTTGTGGATCACTTGACATGTGCCGTTGTCGTACAGCTGTTGAATAAGGTTGATGAATATTCGGGGTTCGCCGCATGATGAAATCCTCCATCCAATCACAGTTTTAGTCTGTAATTAAGAATATGTATATAAATTTCTGATGATAATTAATATCAGTAAAATCAGTGATTTCTCAGGTTGACTACTGTTGATGATTTTCACAATTTCTCAACTTACATAATATAAACTGGGAATTACTCACTTCAAGATGAGATATGAATTAACCAAATCTTTGTTCAATAATTTTTTTTCACCTAAATATCTAACTAACAACTCAAAATGGTGTAGTTATATTCATTTTATGTTTTAGTTTAATTTAACAAAATTCTGTGAGTACAAAACTATTTCAGTTAGTAAGTTCACACAATACAATATTTCACAAAAATTATATCACATACACACGCACACACACACACAAATACTCAGTTACTGATACTTCATCTCTAAGGTGTCTAGATGTTGTCTTTTCTAAAAGTTAGACCATTTTTATGTACATGAAAGACAAATTATAGTCAATGTATTTATGGACTTCGATTTCAGTTATTCAAATTTATGACAACAACAAAAACAACAACTAAAAATAACTAAATAACAGAGTTTTGAAATAATTCCTTTTTTTCAATTTCATTTTATTAATTTTACATGATTTCATATCGATAAATCTCAACAACAACAACAACTAATTGTGAATTGTAAATGTTAAGCTTATGTTTATGTAGAATGGAACCCGCAATTATACCACTGAGGTACCATACATTCTACTAGCATTATTAGTTTTAGGCATTAAATTAAACCATTTAGACTTGTTGGTTTTAGATGGTTGGAGGCAATCGGCCAAAGGAAGCCTTGGACCTAGGTTTTGTGCTAGTTGGCACTCACCAGCCAGCAAGGCGTATCTGCAACCTTGAAGAACTCATGTCCCCTTCTGAGATTCGAACCCGCATCACCCAGTGCTGCAGTCAGAGACGTTACCACTGAGCTATTCAGGCTCGCGATTGACCTCCTGTAGGACTGTATTGCAAGCTTGACTGATAGAATTCAGTCTGCAGCGAAGATAGGACTAGACACATTACACTATTTACTGACTAGTGTGCAATCAAAAATACCATTTAGACTCATCCAGTGACGGCTTCATTCTGTGTATTAATTCCGCTGTAGATTTTTCAACCTTATTCATTATTGTATCTACAGGCTTTTTAATTTCCTCATAAGGACCCGTCTCAATATGTTCAATGACTTTCTTGATATAGTCAGATTTATCCAAAACTACTGTAGAGTTTCCTTTGCCAGCTTTTGCGATGACGATGTTTTTATCCTATTTTAGACTAATTAGAGCTAATCTTTCTGATTTTGTTAAGTTTGATTTTGCTTTCTTTTTGATTTTTCAGGGTTAATGCACATTGTGCTCGAACCTCTTCTGCCATCATCTTATCTGCTGAACTTAGTGTTACTTCTATGTTAGGAATGACATCCCCTGGTTTTAATTTACTAACTGTTACGTTGAAATTTAGTCCTTTTTCAAGTACTTTTATCTCACCAGAACTTAGTTCCCTTGATGAGAGGTTGATTACCCATTTTGTTCTGTCAACAGAGGATGAAACGTTGGCGTCAATTTCATTTATTGTGTTCTTTTCTTCCATTAGTTTGTTGAATTTTTTGATTTGTGTGGTTTTTGATTTTCTTAATGCTGATTCTCTAACTTTTTTGGATGTTTCAACAACAATTACATAATCATTGTCATTTACCATACATTTGAATTTGTGTTTGAGTTTTTTCAATTTCATTTCGTATATTATTTATTCTTATCTATTTTATTTTTTATTTATTTTATTCTTATATACAATTAAAGGTTTAATTAAATTACAGTCTCAGTGCACTTAACTACAGTTTAATTTCGATAAACACATAGTATACGAAGTGTTAGCTGCAAAAGCATCATTCTTACAATTTTACTGATATAAAATTTATGAGATCTTCAATGAAATGCTTCTGAAAGTTGGTGAAAACAATGTCATTTAGAGCAGTAAGTGCGATTACACAAAGTAAATATGAAACAGAAGGTTGTGAATTGTTCCCAAAAGTATTCAGGGCGAAGTTAAACTTTACGCACCGGTAAGTACCAGTGGAGTGCGACTGCACCAGTGACCTAGAAACGCTCAGTGAGCAAGTTAGTGAAACATGATAAATAGCATGGTAATCATATGTAAAAAAGAATGCCTAATAAAGTGCTATGAGGATATCTGGCAAGTTTCAGGTTAAGTTTAGAAAAGATTAAGTTAAGGTTTAGGCTAAGGACAGGTTAGGGTTAGGTTAACCTAATGAGGGTGACATTAGGGTTGGTTCGAGTTAGATTAGGGTTAGTTTAGAGATATTTTCACGCTAGTGTTGGTTAAGTAAAGATTAGGGCTCTTGTTAGGGTTAGAAGACTAGATAATTATGTACACAGAATGTGGTTAAAATTCTCTGTTGATACTCCAATCCAAAAGTGAGACATATTTTCGTCACACGTTAGATAAAGGTATCCTGTGTAACAGTTTTATGCCTTTTAATTTATTATTTTCCTGAATATATGTATTTTTTACGCGAATATCACCTTTATCATGTGGTTGGTGCTTAAAGTTTAACTTCACCGTATTCAGTATCTTATAGAGTCTTTACAATATACACTGTTTCCATCACTTTAGTGGGTATTCTAATATTTATCACTTAACGATTCTGCGTAAATGACTTTAGAAATCTCTGAGTAAAACATACTTCATCGCCAGCCTACTAGTGACATTTTTTGCAAGAAACTATTCAACCAGTACGTGAAAGACGAGCTATCGCATTAGGCCACTTCAGCAGGTGTTTACCATTTCACTTGCTCTTGTAGGGCTGAGTACATTGGCTGTACCACGCATCTGCTTATAAGACGCTCCCGGGAACACTGACCAGCCTGGTTAGTAAAGGGGGGGCATCTGATAAACTCAGGACACTCAGATCCTTTTGAAAAGTCCTTCAGAGTCATATGTTCAGGATCCGATCAAACCTTTCAAAGGTAGCGGGAACAATGTATCTTGGCATGGCTGAGCCACTAACGATTCAAAAATTCAAGCCCAAATTAAGTATCCAAAACAAATACGTCCAACCTTAGTCTCTATCATGACTATCATAAACAATCAATTCTCTTAATAGAGATTTTCCTATCATCTTTTTCATTCCAACTTCCTTCTCACTTCTCTTATTATTACATTTTAACCCCTATTTATCAGATTGACCCTTGACCGGATATAATTCTGTAACTTTCTCATCCATTTACTATAAATACACCAATCTACAGCTTAGTTGATGACTTCGTCGAAAAGAAATTTTTTCGCTACAACTGTCTTTTTAATATTTCCCATTCACCATTCATTTAAAATATCATCTTATCCATATTAATTATATATAGCGATAACTGTAAGTAGAAAAATATCACAAAAGTAGTAACGCACTTAGCCGAAGTCATATTTGTGACCACGTGAAAATCTAAAGATAGTTTATGTAGTAAATTAGTTTACTTTAGTTTGTGTCAGTATAAAAAGAAGTGTGAAAAATACCCAAGAATAAAGGAGCATACTGATGACTTCTCACTGAATATCTTCTATCTTTAAACTATAAACTTAAATATTTAGGTGAAAATAAAGGCACATTTTTTATTGGAAATAATAGTGAAGAGGGATTATCCAACCTTTTTTCCAAATAGTATTTTTCTAGGAAACATTATTCTCCTAGATTTGTAGACTTTGTAATAGGTTTGTTAGCATGATAAATTATTTACAGGTGTATTAAACCTGGGGAATATGCTTCTGCTCGAAAGTAAAAATTCAATATGACATCCTAATATCCATGTTATTAGATGGTTGGAGGCGATCGGAGGAAGCCTTGCTTGAACTAGCTTTCGTGCTTGTTGGCACTCACCAGTCAGTAAGGCGCATCCGCAACCTTGAAGAAATTCATGTCCTTCTCTTCTGAGATTCGAACCCGCGTCACTCAGTACTGCAGTCATAGAAGTTACCACTGAGCTATTCGGGCTTGCGATTGGCCTCCTGTAGGACTGTATTGAATACTTCGATTGGACACTAGTTAGTAACTAGTGTAATGTGTCTAGTCGTTTGTTTGGTGCAGACGCAGATACGCCTTGTTGACTGGTGAGTGCCAACTAGCACAAAACCTAGGTCAAGCAAGGCTTCCTGCCGATTGCCTTCAACCACCTAATATCAACAATGCAAAGTGCACCATGATGGCGAGCCACCTCGTGGCATGTCGGCCACATTGACAGCTTGACTGATAGAATTCAGTCTGCAGTAAAGAAATGACTATACACATTACACTAGTTACTGACTAGTGTCCAATCAAATTAATATCCATGTGTTCACAAAAGCTCAGTTAATATATACAACCATTTAAGTAAGATTTACAACAAAATTCGAAGTACTTTTTTTTTAAACTTACCTTAACGTCAAGATGAACCATTTTTAAAGATTCGTGCATGTACATCAATGCTTCAATAATACTAACTAGTAATTGACAAACATATACTTCAGGTAATCCATCCACAAGAGACTTTATAAACTGATGATCTGTTTTAGGTGACGTGGGAATACTGCAATTCCGGTAGGCATATCCGCATAAATCATATAATGATCCTCCATGTGCGCTTTAGAACAATGAAAGAAAATAAATGTTGCATGTATATTAAAACTATTATCAAAAAACTTGTACATTATCTTAAAGTAAATGTCCATAGAAGTCTACAAATCAAGAGCTAATGACTCATATATTTTACTACTCATTTAATAAAAACATCGCGTCGGTGGAATAGCGGTTAGGACGCTCGCCGACCATGCACATGGTCCGGGGTTCGATCCCCGGCCGGCGCACTCCTTTACCTCGTTAGGCCGGAACTAAAAGCTGGTGAAGAGGAAAGGTTGGGCATGAGGCTAGCAACCCCATCCTGTAAAAATAAACACTGCTACAGAAAATTCAAGCCTCTAGCTTGAAGCCCTATGTTCCACTGGGAACGTAAAGGAATAAAAAAATAATAAAAACATCAAGTTTGTCAAGTTTGGTCAGAGCACCACAAGTTGAAGAAGAAATCGAACACAGTACCTATAGTTAAACCACCAAATGACATTCTATTCCTTCATATAAACACTTCCTACTTATGGGCAAAAGGAATATAAGCGAACCTGTTAAAACTAGATGAAGCAACATTTCAGTAGAAATTGGTTTCTTCTACATTAGTTCAACAAATAGACTATACTACAAGTTGGACAGTACAAATTTTTAGTAGACATATGTAGAACGGAAATGTAAACATATTTAAAGGATGATACAGTGCAACTAACTAAAACAAAAATAAACATATATATGCCCAAATATTCTTATTCTGTACACAAATTTCTGTGCAATGCAGAGGAAATATAACTCTATCACCTCTAGTTTAAACTTTATATCAACACACAAACTTCGCAAATTTGGAAGTGTAAACCAAAGGACCAGGAGACAAAAGTATATGCTCTCGTTAGTTTTAAGGTATCTAATGATTAGATCAGGTCAGTTTTAACACATCACACACTAATTTCTCTTTATCAAGGGAGAAACTGTATGGAACCAGGCTATATTTACTGCATTTTCTTTTCTTTTCACATATAAGATGCCATCCATAGGGATAGAATTCATTTGGGTTGCAAAGTTAGTGAATACTTTCAGCTTAGAAGAGTTGTACAATGAGTTATTCAGACTGAAAAATGGTTGTCTTGATGTCAAGTTATGAAATTTGATCTGATCGAGCTGTATTCCGTTAAATTTGAAATTGGAAGGAACAAAAACAAGCTGACGAATGCAAAGAAAAAGATCCAGTTCTCCTCTACCTCCATACATGGCATTTATTCTTTCTTTGATTTATGCTAGAATTTTGTGTCCCTATAAATCTTTATTTGGATTACTCGCTAGGTTTTTCTTATCAACTGTCAGTGATAAGCAACTAAGCGTTATCAGAAAGATGTCGTTTTTACCCACGATACTTTCTCTGCACTTGCATACAGATTATGGATTTTATGAAGTGTTTTGTATGTAAACACCGTTTATCCAGCCGTCTGCTGAAATGGGAACAGATTTTGCCTTTTAAGCACTCTCAGTATTTTGTTCAGTTAATTGTCACTGGAAGGTAAAACCGACCTAGTACCAATTGGGAAACTATCAAAAACCGACTGATTTTTAAGAAATAGCATTCTTCAGACTCACATCAATGAAATCAGTAAGAATGTGAGATGTGTTGAAGCAAAGTGGCGAACGCAGTCCTGAAGTTAACTTTAGGTACCAATTGAAACATAATGTTTTTATCTTGTTTACAGTCAGCTAGGCTTCATTAACTAGTTAAAGAGTTATTTGAAATATAAACACGATTTTACGCCTCCGACAATCATTAAAATAGTGGACCGATAAAAAGTAGTAAATTATGTGCGGGGTCGTGTCAAAACTACGAAATATAGAAGATGAACTTTTAATGAAGCAATACAGGGTAGACTATAAGTAAAGCTACGTTTTGCATAATTCATGATTTGAAAGTAGCAAAACATGTGCCTACGCAGAAAATACATCTTTCTGTAGAAACACAGTATCAAAGTTCCGAAAGTTTAATTTTTAGATATATCACAGCACACTTTTCGTCTAAGTTGTATTTATATTTATCTTGGGTAAATCAGTGATGTCTAAAGTTTATTATACCTTGAAGATGACTATGAAGAATTTGTTAATAGTTCAAGTACAAAACTATGAAAGTGAATTTTTACAAATTTAACTAAAAGAAATCAGACAACTTTTAAATGGAAAGTTCGCTGACATATCAAATCCTTTCATACAGTGTGATTTGTATTTGGTCCATCTGTAACTTCTCAGTTGTATTACGAAAAATTAGCAAAGTAATCCTAATTTCTTGAAAACATAAAACTACAAATAAAATAAAATACCAGGAAAAATCCAAATAAATCTTAGTATTTATGGAGTCACTTGAATGTAATGGGAAAGGTTTCCGATTTCTGTGGAAAGAATTTTATCATTGCAGATCTCATAAAAGTTAGTTATTCTCGCATTTCATGAATACATCAAGAACAAAAATTCAGTTGATTAAAACCACTCGGCTGGCCTAAATGTATATGATGGGAAACATACGCTATCAGTGATAGGTTATCTTTCCTCTACATAAACCTATCAACATTACAGAAACTGTAGGTAGATAATCATATTAAAATATGAATATGTGATCCTAATCGTACATTTATCTGCACACATTCATAACTGATCAAAAGTGTCGTTTTAAACAGTCTCATTAAGATTAGTATCTAAGCAGCTGTAAAGACGATGAAGTCGTGACTGACTTTTCCTTCGGATCCAATTTCATTTAATGCTCTGCAAATACAGACTGCCGTTCTTAATGAATTTTATCTCCAGTCACAATAGTCAGCCAACGACACTAGGTAAATTTATACATACGGTCTAAAAGATTAGGAAGCAATCAAATATAACATATAGAAGTAATGATGCTTCATAATACAAACTGAATTTGCACTCATTATTTACTTGAACAACGTAAAAGTGGTTACAATTAAAAGCTTACTATTCCATAACGATTGCTACTTCCAATGAGTCTTCGTGAACAGCAAATAGTTTAGGTGAGGCGGATTTCGGCGGATCCATTCGATTGCCTGGTTGGATAGAAATGAGGAATGAATCAGTACAAGCAAGATTGCTATTTTCAAAGTAGTGGCCTGAATAGCTTTGTAAATTGATCATCGCTCGTATCTCAGAAGTGATTTTTGAGAAAGTATCTTTTCCTCCACGGAATCTGCGAATCGCTTTACATGCAAAATATTCACCAGGCTTGGCAAAATAATTTTCTGAACATATAATTGTCGAAAAATTCTGATAGTCTGAACTTGAAATTTCCAGTAAATTTATGTTGTCCGCAAATACTTTGTAAACCTTGCCAGCATAGCCACTGCAAAATATTATTACTTAAAAAAACTTACCGTCCAATAGGATCACCATCCAACCTATAGAAGTTTTTCCAAGAATGTTGTTGTGTTCCTGATTTTTCATGTGTATGTGATTTTCTACCAGATAATGAATAGAAATTACGGCGCGTTGACATGTTCATATGTAATCACATTACAAATTCAATTGATTAGGTAAATTTTTCGGAGGAGATAAGGATTGGACAATGAAGCGAGTTTCTTGAGCTATTTTACTCTATCCTGAAAAAATAATGTTTTAAAAAAGAATTGATTAGATGGATGACAACGTGGAGACAAACAATTAAATGAGTAATTTCAAATAAAAAATAAAGAATTTTATTTTCGAAAGAGATAGATCTGCAAGTTCATTAGCGGTGATCAGTGTTACTGAAATAGTAATTTGTTATAATTTCCTATATTTTAAATATATCATTGCTATCAAGACGAAATCCGAAAATTACACTCTTCCCAGACTGTTTATCGAATACACTTAAGTAACGTACCGAATACGAAAACAGATAACGTTAGTGACCTTGATCTGAAATTGACACAATTTGGGAGAGTAAACTTATAGTGAATGATATAAACACAAAACAGTCTGAAGTAGCACAACAGTTTTTGCCTCAGCCAATCTAGTATTTTAAAGTATTCAAGAGAAAATTGAAAGGTATCTAGGCCTGTTTGTAGGAACGAAGACATATGAATCAGTGTAACTTCGGCTTTTCATGAGTTTATGTCTTAGGGCGGAATCTAAGCATGTCTTCGATATTAAAGGTCACGAAAGGGTTCCGTTATGATATATATCTGAAAATACCCAATTTCACACTTGCGTGATATAAGCAATTTTCCGAATGCAGGAACCAACAACGTCACCGTTCGTTTTCTCTAAAGTTGTTTCTAAGTTATGGGGTCATACTTACTTAGTGGGTAAATTTGATTTAACTGTGGCGATAAATTGATTATTAGGGCTAAAAACCTACATCTAACGATGATTCTTGAAACTAACGCCTTTAAGTGTATATATTTGACCAAAATGGCCGTGCTATCTAATCTATCTATCCAGGATGGCGGCCTGTTTGACATCTGGTCTACCTTTCTGTACATCTACATATTTGCATCTAATACATCATGTTTCCATTTTTAATTTTAACAAAATATGGTCACAAATCGTATCAAATACAGTAATGAATTCATTAAATGTTTTAAACCATATGACTTTCATGCATCTAATAAAACTAAGAGAAAACATCATGGTGGTTGGCAACGCGCTCTCAAACGGACACCATTATATCGCACAACTATTCCTGTTATTGTCAGTTCAAACTGCCGTTCACTTCCCAACAAAATTATGCATCTCCAATCTCTCTTATCATCTGATACTTATCACAATACGGCGATAGCCGCATTACAAGGAACATGGCTCCATGATCTTTATGACGACAACCTGGTTTCTCTAAATGGTTTCACATTGTTTAGACAAGATCGAATATGCTCTAGAAAGAAAAGAGGTGGAGGAGTCGCAACCTTCATTCATTCTCAGTGGTCAACTTCAAATAATGTATGTTTTTCTTTCTCTAGTGACATTATTGATTGTATTACAGTCAAATGTCGTCCGAAACACCTATCCAAGTTTAAATACGTCTTCATCTCAAACATTTATGTTACTCCTGGATGTTCCGCCTCGGATCTATCTCATTTTGCCGATGAATTCACAGCATTCGCGGTTACACATCTTGAAAACTCTTTATCAGTTGTTACTGGAGATTTCAATACCAGTGACTGTTCTTTTCTTGAATCATTAGGTCATGTCAACATTGTCAAATTTCCAACTCGACTTGATAAAACTCTGGATCTAGTATTTACTAATGATGCGGAAATATATGAAGCACGCAGACGTGCTCCTATAATGAACTCTGATCATTGTATTATTCGGATATTACCCAAGATATATAGCAGATATCACTCTAATATCCTCTCGAATCTCTCCAGGAAAACACAACAAAGATGTTACTCACAAGAAAACGTGCTCAAACTAAGATGTATGTTAAATGACACAAACTGGGAACTTTTCACTGAACACACTCTGGATGATACTATTTCCAATCTGACTGACTATCTTAAATTCTGCCTTGATGTATGCTGTCCTAAACAGATACTTTTCAAAAGAATAGATCATTTCTCTTCTCCTCATCTCAAAAAGCTTCGAAGAGAAAAAGAGAGACTGTACAAGGCTAAGGATAAAGCTGGTCTTAGGAGAATAAACATCCAAATTAAATCCGAAATCAAGAGGTTAAACAATATTTATAATCAAAGAATTTTGTCATGTAAAACTCCTGGGAACATGTGGAAGCTTTTCAAAGAAATTACAGGTTGTGGTAAGCATAGTTCTTGTTCTCCCTCTATTGATGTAAATACTCTTAATAGATCTTTTATCCGCCTTCCCAATGTACCTTCTAGCTTCAATGTAACAAATAACATGACCAGTTAAGCGTGAAACCTGTGACTTGCTTTGTTATTAACAACATAATTTCATACTCTTTTATTTCTCTCTTATTTCGTATTCTTTAGTGAACTCCTTCTTCAAACTCACTTAGCTACCTGAAATATTAACATTGGCTTCCTTTTTTGTACTTTACTATATTCCTTCTATTGTGTATTCACTGGTTCTGACTATATTAGCACTATGAGTATTACAAAATTGTCGTGTCATTAACCATCATGTAATTATTAGTTTTGTGGTTGCTTTTCTTATTTTCTATACTTTTTGGCAATATTAAACTGACAATCATTGTTTGTGAATGCCATAGTCACCACCTCAAAAATTTTGTATTATTCAGGATTACTCACACTACCACCACAAACACTGCATTAGACCTTGGTAGACTTTGGTACTTTTTCGCATTCATAATTATTTTGTGTTTATCCTGGTTTTTTTGGTTTTTTTGCTGTTGGTGTCTTCAGATTTACTTTTTTTTGTTTGTCTAATACTTATTTTAAATGTCGGTAAAATTAGATGCAAATATTGTAGATATGTGCTGAAAATTCCACACTGTACCACTAGTACTGTTTCTGGAATAAAGCAAATTATTATTATTAGATATCATGTTCCATTATTTTTTCCACTAATATCCGCTTCTTATCTCAGGGCATGTTTGCGAATACTTCAAAAAATATCCTCCAAGATGATCACCGCTATACTTTAATGGAAGTGAATTCATGTGTTCTGAACACCAAAGTTAATCAGATGGACCGGTGACATTTCCACATCCCGTAAGTATGCACTTCTTAACCTAAGTGTTTCTTTGAGGCTATGGAAATCATTGTGGAAGGAGTCCAAGGAGAGGAAGTCAGTTCGTTCTGCTTTATGGGTCTCGAACGTGATATATTAATAACCTCCGACTCCTTGAGTGCCCAAAATACTTGTCATTCTTTTTCATACTAATTAGAGTTAAGTTGGTTGACGTCTAGTCTGTAGCTAGTATCAACAACAGACCAAAATTTCAACGAAGTTCTGTCTTACTATATCAGAACTCCTAGGGTAGCCGTGCTTACGTTATTAAGACTGAATCTTACACACACAGCGTAAATGATTCCAACAGCACCTTCAAACATCTTTCTAATTCCGTGTTGCCATCCATTTTATCTTGGTGGACAATTCCTACCTTCTTTTGTTCATTAACTGAAAGAGGAAAATAAAAGTTGTACTGGTGGGAGGATAGATTTAGATAAACAGGATCGAAGCCAAAGAATAGCTGTATCACCCCTGAACAGTGCACATCAATCTATTTTCCATTTTCTGCAAATCCAAATTTCTCTCCACTCATTGCTTCGACTTTTAGCAACGAAATCGGCAAAAGAATTAATGGAATTGTTTGTGTGAAACTAGAGTGTCCTGATGGATTCCTTCGGTCGGATGTAAAAGAGAGACATGCCTGAGGCCGAAGCCTGCACCGATGTGAGGCACTGACTAGATAGCGTAAAATTTACCCTGTCATTCCTGTAATGTCCCAATGAATTATGTTTGACTACACATAAGTGACCTATGGGGATAGAACTCTAGGTCTTTTGCATGTATTTGTTTTTTGAAGAGATAAGTGATCATATCTTATTAGCACATGATGAGGACCACAATGACTTTTCAAGGAAGAGGATTCCTTAAATAATCTCAGCAAATTTTACCAATATTAGCTCTTACTCCTAATGAAAGTGGCCTAAAAGTCATGTCTCGACAAAACTCATTCATACTTCTATTTGAAATATAAAATTGTGAACCATGAAACCTTCCGAAGCCGTGCCTTTTTGGCTTACGCACTTAGGATACACCGACTTAATTGTCTTGATAAGATGAATTTCATAATTCACAATCA